AAAATATTTGTTCTAACGTGTACGTGACTAATATAAAATGAAAATATATTTACAGTCTAATATCGCCGTTTTTAAACCTGTGAAAAAATGAACAGCAATAATGAAAATATTTTGACACTATAATTACACTACTAATACAAATATATCTGGTATAATATTACATACACTATTAAATTTAGTAACAACATTTTTTCGTTATTCCATAGAAATGTTTTGTTTGCTTAAATAAAGCTCTCGATCCTAATAAGATAATCCACATAACAAAAGCTAGGTACAAGAATTCAAAATAGGCAGTGCTACTACTGGAGTACGGTTTCCTCCTCTTCTCTTCACTATCGTCCTAGATTACGCCATGAGCATCATTACCCTACACAAGAAAACAGGCAGCAGCTCTCACACGACAACTCGAGGATTCGAACTTCACATATTATAGTTGCCTACTATCGCATTAACGCTCCAACATGCAAAAAAAATCAATAAACTTTTTGAGCTGGCACGCATTTTCATGCGTGAAAGTCAATTGCTCCAGCGTTGTTAAATAAAAATTTACAATCATTCAATGAAGTTCGTCGATAGCTTCTGCTACAGCTGACAAAAGAGCGGAAGCGGTTGGCATCCATCACCCAAGGCGAGAGCGGCCTTTGGACGAAAGCATAAACCTTAGAGTATTTTTCGCATACGTGGATTTGACGCTATTGTATGGAAACGGAACATAACTGATTTTGAACCCCACCACTCGGAGGCTTCAAGCACTCATCAGCAAATGCCACGAATCATCCGCAAAATATTTTGCCCAAAAATATAAGCAGTCAAATGCTATACAGTTTGGCGAAAGTGGAAACTACACTGCAGAAAATAGAAAACAGTCGCCTGACTGTAATTCCCAAACAAGCAGAAGTTGAAGCCGACCAGCGCTCAATTGTTTGAGATAGCGTTTCTTCACATCGTCGAAAGCTCCCAAACTCGATTTTTGGGATATCCTTAAGCTCTTTCAGCGATTTTCATCTATCTTTTAAACGACGGCCCTTTAAGGTTCTCTTTATTTTTAGAAATAGGAAAAGCTCACATGGAGCCATGTCTGGCGAATATAACAGCTGGGACACCGGTACAATTTTGTTTTTGACCAAGAATTCATGAATTACCAAGGTCATAAAAACACGTCTAATCAAAGCGGCTGCTCCAGACAAAGCAAGCAACGAATACAACTTTATCATCAACATAACAAAAAAAATTTATTTGAATTTTGATAATTGTACTCTCCGAACCCCCGAAAATTTAATTCAAAATTACTCGTTATTTATTGAACACACCTCGTATATTGACTATGCTTCAGATAGGGAAGCTAAAAAAAATTTCATTCTTCGAAAACAATCAAAAATGTTAAGTAGTAAAAGCTCGACTTTAAATTTATTTTAAAACACGCTTTCATTGTGAAAACCACAAAAACACTAAAAATTTAAAATATTACCCTAAGCAAGAGCTGAGAAATTATTTTTTATCCTTTAGAATAAAATGTCCTAATAGTTCACTTCTCAACTGAATACACAAATATTTTAATATTTTTAGCAAATAGACAAATATTTGCATATTTCCAAGCAAATATACCTTGCAAGTCTGACATTTTAAAAATCCTGTCAAACTCTGCAATAAAAATGTTTTTCCAGCTGCTGCAGGTAAATAAACAGCATTGTTTACTTATGTAAATTTTGAGAAACTGTCGAGATGCCAGCCGAAAATGTGCTTGTATGCATGTCTGCAAGGATGCCATGTAAACACACTTAAATATAAATATATCTATATATATATATATATATTGTGAATTAAAATTTTATATTTGTCAATCAAGCGGTTGACAAAGAGACATTTCATTTTTCACCGAAATATACGGCATAAATTAATGGTCAACTATGGAAAGTTACGGCAAATAGCAATAAACCAGTTCATATAATATATATCAATACATATATTTGTTGAACTGACAGGAGATATGCTTCGTTAAACGCTAAATCTATCATATATATACAAATGCATAGCAAATAAATAACTTATTGCCGCAAAGATAGGCATATTTAGACACATACAAGAGCATTAATAGTCAATTCGGTATATTAAATTATACTTACTACTTGAATTTCATAAATATTGGTAAAAACAATTGCAAAGAGCATGTTCTATTTTTTTTGTTGTAATTTATATTTTTGTAAAAGAAATTACACATATTTCTAGCAACTCTGCAAAATTCATAGTATACATCTAGGCGCTGATGCAAGTAATTAAAATATTGTATTTGTTTAGTATTTCTAATAAATAAATAACAAAAAAAATTATTTCAGCATTTTATCCTCAGATATATGACAGGCGTTTTAATCTAAATGTATTGACATATTTTGTATTTATTTAATTTCCGTCATTTTTGTTACTCATTACAATCTACTACAGGCTAAATTATTAAACATTTATTTACAATCTGCTTTTAACACAAATACAATACCTCTTGAGAGTGAGTTAACAAGTTGAACATGTTGGTCATAGTAATAAATTATGAAATTAAAAAATATACATATATAATTATATAGTATTACCTATATCGAAAATACAAGCATATACTCATATATTTAAAAAAAAATCGTAAAAGAGGAATTACTTCCAGTTTGACAAATATTTTTGAATATTTTTAGAATATTAAAACTCTTCAATCGCTTTCTAACTTCCTTGTCAAGATTTCATTTTTTTCGTCTACTAAACTAAAATAAACATTTGTGTATATTATTTGACAGCAATTTTACCAATTTTTTTTCATATATACATAAAGAAAATAATTCGTAATTTCGGACATATTATTAGTTATTCCAGCTAGGTTAATTAATATACTTTGTACAACATGTGCACTTGGCAAACATTTTTTCAAATAGTCTTCAGCAGTTGAAGATTAATTCTCTTTCTAATAGAATGGTAGATTTTACGCTTTTCTTTAGTACTTCATCACACAACGTTCCCCTCAAATGTTATGTTTAAAACTACCTCAAGCGCAATAACTGTCACATACAAAACATCTTATGCAATAAATTTAACCGCAGAGCTATATACTCGTATGCATCGGTAGAAAAAATGTAAAAACGATAACATTGGTTGCACCGAAGCCATAATACAATTCACGAATAAAAAAGTTTTTCACCAAGGAGTTGATTTTGATCGTTCAGTTTATACAGCAGCTATATGCAATAATGACGGATATGGCTTAATCAACTCAGCTTCTCACGCTGATCATTTATATACACAATTTGAGGATGGGCAATATCAAACAACAATAATTTACAGCTTAGCATCGCTCGTCTAAATCAGATATCGAATATGAGTACCTCTGTGCCTATGGCTGACTTTTTCAGAAAATATGGATCAATCTTTACTAAATCCGTAAGAGCATCTTTCATAACTACATATTATAATGTACACTCTTGCCAAAAATGGTTAAAATCGGGTTGATACTCCACATAGCCCCCATATACCCTATATAAAAATATTCGAGCTTTCGGTTGGTTTTATACATTTCTATCGGTCCATATAATAATTCTGAAAATTTGTGCCACCATATACCTAATATTATATGTATACTAAAATGGGTCCCTTATACGTATTATATTAAATTTTTCCCTATGATCGAGATTACAAGCTAGAATATTTCAATTAGCATTATGTCATTGAACAGTAAGAAAAACATTTCCACCGCACTAATATGATGAATAAAATTATTTGATGTAGTTAGACTGTTTATATATATCTCGACCTGAAGCATATTATACTAATGATAATATGTAAGTCTATACCTATCTTCGTTGATGATTAGCTTTTATGCTGCTGCGAGATCCTCCTGGTCTAGAGTAGAACGAAATAGATCCACTGAACTACCTGCTATTAGCGAGGTACATCTTGCCGCAGTCGTAGACGTTTTTCTGGGTACTGTACGAGCATGGAGGAAGGTGATAATAAATTTGTGTTAGACTGAAAAAAATGTTGCCGAATTATGAGGTGGTTTATGATCCCAATGATCAAGGGAGATTTCTGTTGGCATTCGTAACAGGATCCCCTATTAATCTAACCTAACCTAACCTTACCAACACTTGAAACGAGCTTATTCGCGTTCACAAAACGCATGAAAGTGTTTTTAGCTTAGTATTTTAAATTTCTTCTACCACAGAATTAAAAATTATAACAGGTATGCGCCGGAATGTACATTTTCTTTCGCAATTTTGTTTTGGATTAATCTTAGAGGTTAGTAGCACTAGGAAGAGAGTTCCTATACAAAAGTAAAAAGAGAATCTGCAGTTTTCCGCAAACTCCAACGCGGACAAAGATTTTTAGTATATCTAAAGGTGTTTTTTATGTGACAAATATTTTATTATTAAATAAAATGTCTGGCAATAAATTTTTACGTACTATATAAAAAAATGAAGATATATCAACAAATGTTGTGAGTTCAAGAAACATACAAATGAGCAAATAAAAAATATTTCTTTTGTGTTTAAAAGATAACAATAAAATTGATAAGCTACGACAATGTGATTGTAAAAGTACAAGCAAAATAAAGCAAAAATAGAATACAACGTTATAAACAAAAAGAAAGTGGCTTTAAGAGCAGATGTTCAGCATGAGCATACTATTTGATGGCACTAAAATACACGCCAAAGCGACACGAAGCTAAAGGTGTAAAACTTGAATGACCATCAAAAAGGTTATGACACATAAAGTGTGAACACGACTGTAAGCCCGTGTGTGTGTGTGAGTGAAGGGATGTGTGAGGGCGCATTTCTTTCAATTTCTCGGCAACTAAAAAATATTTACAGCTGGTCTGCTGACTTGAGGGTTGAGACTTATTTGACAGCAGTAAACACACACTTGAGCTGAATTTGCGGGAATTCATGCATTTAAGGGCACAACTTATAGGACGATGGAAAGTAAAAAAACTTTTTTTTTCTTAAAAAATAAGTACAACACTAACTTACCTGCTAAATTTGTTCGCCGCTAAGTAAATATATTTTATTCGCACATAAATTCAATGTCACAAATGCCGGTAATATGCATGCAGTTTTGTCGCATTGCTGCTGGGGCACCAAATCCGATGGAGAAATAAATTCGCGTAACCTTGCAAATTTTACGAGCTACGAATATGAAATCCTTATTTACAGTCGCCAGATGATGTCCTTCACGTATGTGTCCTGCACGTTCTCGACAGTAATCAGCCACACAAACGGCTTTAGGCGAAAAGCAAAAGTCCAAAAGTCATCGGTATGCTTGACAGACTTACTTTTTGCATATAAATTGTATACTTTAGAGGATAGAAATGTACACTTCCACACTTATTGGATTTTTACGTGATATCTAAGGGGTCATAAAAATCTTCACACTTCGCAATTTTTCACAATTTGTTGCCACAATAAAATTTCGCGCACGAATTGAAAAATTTACATACGCATATTTCAACACTTTACAAATTTTACAATGTTCAATTTGATTACATTCAAGTAAAATGAATTGCTTTATGCGCCTACAGACACACTACACACATACCAACACGTCGGCAAGTAGTGCGTTACGTATACGCCCCAGCACCTCGCTATTGGTGAAGTTGACTTTTCGCTTGACTGCAAGTCAGCTAGACAGTGAGTGCTGTTACTTAGTCGGCAGCCGACATGACATATCAGTTACAAACTGCTGGCATTAGGTTCGCTATGCACGAAAGTTTCGGTTACGCGCCAACAAGTATGCAACGTAAATATGCGCAAAACCACTTTTACTCACAGCAACTTTTCACTTTTATTTTCAGTTTTCTTTATTTTTTATTATTTTTGGTGTTTTAGTACCTTTTTCCACGTCTACAGATGTGACAAACGCACACGCCAAATGCGAAACTGAGTTTTTTTTTTTTTTGGTTTGCTTCTGACCGACTTTCTAGCACATTCACAACTCACTTAACTTAACTTTTAGACGCAAAGTTTTGCCATACGATGCCTGCGCACGGAAAAGGTATCTAATATGGAATGTGAAATGGTAATTTGTTGCCACTCAAAACCAGCACTCAAGCGTTAGAGTTTTTCTTTGCACTTTGCATATCTCGCAGCGCCTGGAAATATGTTACGTTTTTCAAGCTTTCAATTTCTGTTACTTTTTTCGTTTTTACACACAAATATTTCGGGTTTGTTACAGCGCCTACAAATGTATTTTTTTCTGTTGTTTTTTTATATTTAGTTCAAGCACAGATTTGCTGCCTACGTCAAAGTTTGTAGAGCACTCAAAGTGAAAGCGAAGCTGGCATAATTTAAGGCGCAAATACTTGACAAAAACTTGTTAACTTGATATGAAAATGTAAATACGAGTAAGTACTTCAATTACTCAGTAGTTGTGCCGACATTTGACAAATGCGTACGCTTTTGGTGTTTTCAAAGTGCCAAAGTGCCGAAAAGTATGCTAGATTTATGAGAAATATGTGAAAAGTTTAACTTTAATGTTTTGTAGCTGTCACTTAGCTAATTTGCGTGTATTGTGCGTTTATGACATAAACTCAAGACTGCTGGGTTAACGTGACTCATAACTTTGGTATCTTTAGCATACCTTTAGGCGGTTTATTAAGTCAGTAAATGCTGTTTTCATATCGTATATTATTTTTTATTTTGACACAGAAATATGCTTGCACAATTGTTTTGTATTGAAGGCCTTATGCTTTAATTACTTTCCTATTTTTCTCAGCGCTGAAAAGTATGTTATCCCTAACAATCGCACATTTGGCATGCTACATTAATGTAAGAAATCATTTATTTAATTGATAAGCTCATAAACTGTATATGCTTTCGAATTGAATTGTGTCCATCAATTTAACTTGTTTGCTGCTAGCAACAGTTGTCTTGTTGCGCCTAAATGTATGCTATCACAAAGTAAAAAATATTGTGACGGTCCCATATAACTTCGGTTTCCTTATTTTAATGTTTACTATATTCATTATAATTTAGTTTAATCATGTTCAATAAGTTTGTACTTTATGCTTTGAAATGGCATGCCATTCATTGAATTATTGTATGCTTTTAGGCGCAATATATTTTGTTGAAAATTTCTCTATTAGTTCTTTTTATTTTTGGTTTTTTGCAAAACTGCCTTATCACCACTTCATTTCTGATGAAAGCTGCTAAAGTTATGATTTATTATTATAAAATTGCCACCGCCTAGTAGTAGACTTGAAATTAAGCTTAGTTGGCTATATTCATAACCTTCACCCTTACTTTCACTATTTTTGAATTTTTTTGTTTAAAATATTTATAGCACTCAAAATTAACCCTCAGCTGGGCAATCCGTTAGGCCAATTGTTACTGCAATTATTGTCGAACGTAAGTCTATGCACAAACACACGCAAAAACCTTTTGACATTAACCGGGGTCAGGTATGCTTTACGCGCACTTATTTGGTGCGTTTTCTGCCAGCTTGCTAAAGTGGCAGCACGACACGACTGAGGCTGTAGCAATATCGTTTGCGAACGCTTGCGACTTCAGCACTGCGACCGAGACTTCCAACTGACCGACTTTCGTCTTAAATTAAGCCTCTTCGTGCGAACGTGCATACATATTTGCTGGTGCCGCCGACGCAACGTTGTACTGACACACCGACACACTGCACTTTTCGACAGCAAAAACAATAATAACAAAGGCGACGTTGACTTTTCACCGACTTAATCGACACGCTTTCGTTTCGCGATGTTGAAATGCCAGCCAGCTAGCAGCAAGCAAGTGGTAGCCTGATTTTCTAATGCACACACCTTTTAAAGTTGTACTTGATTTTTAGTTTTACTTAATTTTTTTTTTATACAAATGCTGGTTATGCAATGCATTATCCCCGCATGGATTGTTTAAGGGAGCTTTCAAATACTTGGCAAAAATAATTATTTGCTATTTATTTCGTTCAGTACTAAACCTATTTTTCCTAACGGTCACTAGCTCAACCAACCGCAGATTATAAAATGATATCGTTCGCTTGATAGCAAAACGAGCTATTTTTGCGTTGAAAAAGCGTACATTAGAATTCACCGTTACCACTACCGTTGGTATCCTTAACGAAACTAACCGAGCGCATAGCATTAGTAACATCCTTACAAAAACTCGGCCAATACTTTCCTACTTGTCTACGCCGCCGCCGAATAAGCGACACGCGACTGTAGAACGAAGCCAAAAACGAGCGTTGTACGGCTAGTATGCACACCTCTTGCAGCGTTCGTGTAGCGAAATCCACCCGCCACAATTTGCCTGCGTATCAAGCACACGGCTGTGGAGATGACAAAATTGTGACAGTAATTGCTTTTGTCTCTAACGGTTAAAAGGATAATATGCACTGTGAGAGAAAATACGTGAGCGCGCGAGCGTAGGTGAGCTTCAAGTGTTAAGAGCGCATGCGTTAGATCGCATCTATGCTCAACCGAGAGCATAGATTTGCTATAAATCTGCTCCCGTTCTCGCAACAGTTGCGCTCTTGTGGAACGTAAGTGGCACACAAGTGCTTTTCAATACAACTCAGTGCGCAACGAAGTGGTGTTGGAACTGCGTACACGTTAGGAATTAAAACGTCATTTGATGCATCGATGCTGCTGTTCAAGCTGAAATATGAACAATTTAAGCACATTGCACCACAGCGCAAGTTCAAGGAAAGCCTCACGCCTTTTATGAATGAAAGTTATGCAGTTAATGTTCAGCTGTTGGTGTTCTGGTTCCATATTGTCTCTTCAGGGTGTATTGTGTTCAATTTTCGTACTTTTTTTACTGCCATTTTAAACGCGTTTGACCTAACACAATTCCTACACTTAAGACTTCCCAAATTGATAGATTTATTGGTATTTATTGCCATTTATAAAAAATATATACAATCATGAAATGTCCCGTTCCCATAACAGTCGACTCAACGTAATCGAAATAGACCTTTTTTTATACGGCCAAGAACTTGTGCGACTGTGAAACTCTGCTGGCCTAGAGGAAAACGTAAGAGGTCCTCCGAACTACTAGTTGTGTTTTGCTTTATTACGTATACTTTTAGGTCCTATGACCACCAAAAAATACTTAGGTATGCGAAAATTTTGTGCAATTTTTTTCTGTTCCCAAAGAAGAGTCCCGGAAAATTAATTGCTGAGGCTTGACCTGTTTTGTAAGAAAAGTCCAATTGCAGTACAAAAATAGTATCGAAAAGTTGGAGGATCGCTATAATCTAATATATCGCTTATTGCCGTTATTATATATGGCTTCCCTGCTATCCAGGCTGTGAAATTTACTGTTTGTGGCTCTTTATTCAGTAGGTTATGGAACTTTTAGTAATTTTCAAGATAACCGTTACATGGGGAGTGGGCGTGGTTATTATTTGATTTACACCATTTTCACAGTGTCTAAATAAATGCTAAAAAAACTTCTTCTCAGCGAGTTTGGTAGAGATAGCTTCAATAATTTGGGAGATACCTATGTACATTTAACCATTTAGAGGGTGAGCCACGCCCACTTCTAAAATAAGTTTAGCCCACAAGTTCTTGCACGGACAGACGGATGGACAGGCCATCACCCGGATTTCAACTCGTCTCGTTACCCTGATAATTTATATATACATAAGGGTGGAGGGAGAACAAAACTTTTTTTTGCTTAGCCTGAGGGTAAAATTTGTAGGTTATAAAAAAAGGAAATTTTCGGACAAAAATAAAACACAAATTTTTTAAACTTCTAGAGGCGGCCCACTCAGTTTTAAATTAAATTTTCGAGCTAAAATTTGTATTTCATAAAAAATTTTGATAAGTGTTCTAGAAGCTTTGGAGAGTCCTCTTTCTGGCCAATTAAAAGTTATCAACTTAAAAAAAAATTTTGTGGTCATTATTGGAGTTTTAAAAAAAGTCTTAACCGACAGCATACTTTCCTTAAGCGTTTAAATAAATTTTGAATCAAAAACCGTCACAGTCGGAAATTTTTCTATAAATGTAAAGAGTTTAAACCAAAAATAATTATTTCTTGTCCAAAAAAAATTTTAAATATGTTAAAAAAAACAAACAAATTCCGCTCCACCCTAATATACATAACACTATATCTATCTCGATTAGTTTAAAATGAAACAAACAACTCTTAGATGAATAAAACTATTATACTCTGTCCAACATATTGCTAGAGTATAATTAAGAGCTCATTCATATATCACATTTATGTTTATAACCAAAAAAGAACCAACCGGCTGTACAACAGATGTGTGTAGCATCAAGTAACAACTTTAACTAAAAATTTCATCAGTCAGTGGCCACCTGAACTTGCCACACACAGATGCACATTGGAATCACAATAACGTTCACAGTTTGAATACCGCCTTTTACTGATTATCACACGCATAGGTACATGCTGCTGATTTCACTTTTTGTTGTGGCGCGTGATAAGAGTCTTTAACTTTCCTGTTGCATTGAAAGTTATAGCGACATGTGAGGTTATGATTTATGCGGAAATAAAATGAGAATCAGCAGCAAGTTTTAAAAACATTTGGCGAAAAGTATATAAATTTCTAATTATTTGATTCATGTAACGGAGAAGAGCTCATATTTTCGTGTTAATTAGAGCTCAGTTCAATCAGCAAAAAATAGTGATATATATTGTTCTGATTTTTTAATACAAGTTTACTAAGTTGGAGCAGATAAGTATCTTTCTTAGTGTTGACACATACTATATTTACTATACTGCTCTGGCTTTTCTAACTTCTATATTGCAATATATAATATGTTATTGATAACACTAAGCATAGTGCGGAAAACCCAAAGAAAATATATTAAAACCTGACTTAATTTTACTTTTAGCTTTAGCCCCTCACACTAATGAAAGTAGTGTTCCGAAATATCATACTCAGACTATCATACTCGGGACTCAGATGCCCTTAATGTCAAAAATTATTATTATTATTATTATTTTTAACCAGCCCCCGTCGCTTGTCAATTGCTCTTTGCAGCAATGAAAGTAAGAGATTTTCACAGAGAACGTCCCTAGGAAACCATAACCATAAATCCGGTGTGTAAAGAAAGTGCTATGCAATTGGTTACTAATCTCACGTTATATAACACGGTTCAAATTTGGTCGAAAAGGTGCTCGGAGAATTAAAACAATTGAAGTTAAAAAAATTGAAGTTCTTCTCATTTTATGAGCAAGAATACACAAAATTTTTACATTCTTCTACACATTTATTACAAATCGAATCGCGTACAAAATATCTGCTTGATTATTTATTGGGAGGTGTCTTGTCAAATTCCGCTAGGACATTTATTTAAACGTTGTGATTACCGATAAAAGAACGCGTTTGTAGATTATCAAGAAAAAACCGGAAAAGCTGTTGCCGCTTTAATTTGTGGTACCCACGTGCTGAATTCGGTTGGAGTCGACTTGGCTGAATGCTGTCCACGAGCAATAAAATGTCGATCAAAAATGTTTCAATATTTTTAGTAGCAGAACACAAAGTTGGGAAATCCTTAAATACAAAATACCCAAGTCATTTTACTCTCTTTCTAATACATGGCGGTCTGCTAGACACGATGCCCTCAAACCATTTGCGAAAAATCAGATTGATAAACGCTTTGATATAAGTTAAAAAAAACTCAACCTTACGACAGAAACTCTTATGGAATTTCTAAATATATAAACATATATGAAATTTGAATGCATTTTGAAGGCCTCCATAGAGTTTAAATCCTTCAGTCATTCATTGAAAGAAACTTGGTTCTTTAAGAGATCAATGCCACCATCGACGCTGAAGTTAGAAATATAGCAAGCCTTCTAATGGATTGGCACAGTCTGCCCGACCAATGGAAATCAATTTATAATAAATGAAAAATTGCTGCAAAGAATTCAGAGCAATTCGAGACGATTTTAACATCAGCAAAAAAATCAACACGGAAACACGAAAATTGTAGTAAAGAATAAATTGAATTTAAAAGAAACCGTTCTCATTTCCATGGCTCTTCTTTGACTGAAAGAATATATTATATATATCTGATATGTTATCCAATGAAGTTAGTCACATCAGACACGTTTACAGCCAAAAACGAAAATATACTGATGTCGATAACCATCAGCGCTCTATTATACGGGGCAGTGATATGTTCAGATATGTTAAAAAAGGGATAATCGGCGAGAGGTATTGGTCAGTGTGCAACACAGCGTAATCCTCAACTTACTGAACAATGTCAGGTGATGGAAGATTAGTTATAAACAGTAAGGTCCTAATTGACCTTGCATAGGAAAGGAAAAAGCTGAAAATAACAAGAGCCTAATTGAACAAATAAAGAAGGATACGTTAACAGCATGATAACGAAGAGGGAGAATGAGAGTCGCGGCAGATGAACGGCCAGACTTATAAGAGATCTAAAATTATGGGCAAGTCGTAAATTTGGAGAAGTCGACTTCTGCACAACACAGCTGTTATTCGATAACGAATATTTCTAAAAGTACCTACACAAAATGGGATAGATGACGAATGACGCTGAACACACATTTTTTAAATGTGTGCAATGGAAACGGGAACGCCCCGCCGTAGAAGACCTGGTTGACCCAATAAACGCGGACAATTTAATCAGCGTCATGCTGGAAAGCGAATAATCCAGATCTGTCCGTCTGTACATACGCGAACTAGTCGCCATCCAAACTGACTGATCAAACCCCAGATAAAGGTACTTTTATATTTTATTTTTTTGAATTAAGAAATGCACCAGAAGTTAACATCTGGTTTGTAATTATATTCTGAAGAATTTCAACTTGTTGTAAATTTAATTCAATTCACTCTAATTTTCTAGTCTAGTTTGATCATTTTAAAGACACATTAATTAATATAAACGAACCAGATTCACACAAGGAGAATATTATTTTTTCAATACATTCATTGGGACCATGAAATACAGGATACTTTCATTAAGAGTGATATGATTTAAAAAAAAACAACACGCACTAATTGTTAAGGAAATTTTTTTATTTCGCGTTAAGTACAATCGATACAATTAAGTTCTGAATAAAACATCAAATGACATCTACGACTTCTTTTTGCAGTAACGAATTCAATGAACCTAATTTTCTAGTACTTTTTCTACTAAATTAAGTCGTATGTCATGAATAGCACGTTCAATATTGACTTCTAAAGCTTGAAGAGAGTCTGCTTTATTGCCAAAGACCAAGGACTTCAAAAATCAAATAAATTCACAAGAATTTGTCTAATGATGTTAAATCACAACTTCTTGGACGTCATTCAATGTCACAATTTCTTGAAATTATCGAATCTCCAAATTTTTCTCGCAATAA